GGCGGTGAAGCGCTCACGGCTCATCGCGCCCCGCCGGTGTGTGCTCAGGCCCCAGCACCTGTGCCCCCTTTTCCATTAAAAATTATCCCAAACATTTATTTTTTCATTTAGAAGGTGTTCAGTGTTCAAGATGAAACCCTTAAAGCCGCTGACTTAAGGCACCAGAACAATAACATCTCCATTTTAATCAAGTCCAAGAGAGCAGAAGGTGAAGCCTTGCACCGGGAGGGAGGGTTGCTAACACACAAACCAAAACAAACTCAAAAATTTCCATGTCCTGTACAATTGTTCTGTACCAGTCTCTGACAAAAGAATTTGTAAACATTGGTGAGAACTGGGTAAAAGAATCCATTTAATTTCATAATTCGGTTATGTGCAACAAAAGACGTGGTACAGTTTAATTAACCAGTACTTCCTGTAAAGTAGCTTCAAGAAATAAGTCGTTCACATGCAAAGAAGCACTTCACAACTTCAGTTTCGATTCCTAGTAATGAGCTCACACTCAATTTTCAGTAATAACTGGTTGTGGGCTGCTGAACAAATAAGGAATTTCTGACCCTGACTCACCAAAGAGCAGCCCGTATCCCAATTCACTTTAGGACACGATTTCAATTAAACTCTCCACAAGTTGTTCACAGATTCTTCATAACTGTTTGCAGCACTGGGGTCTCCCATTGCAGTTGATCCCACACTTGCCCGTGGGCTCAGAGTACCTCAGTTCTACAGCGATGCTCCATACCCAGCCCGTCCGGTGCTGCTCACTGGGGCTTCACCAGCTCCTGCACAGGGAGCAGCCACCACCCCACAGCACCCAGACTTGCCCAGTCTGCGTTTTTAAACACTAGAAAGCCACCCTGCAGTCACTCCTATGGCAACTGAACCACCTCACTTTGAAGTAAGGCAACACTATTTACTTGTTCTACCTACAAACGCTTCAACTGCCTCATTCAACTGCCTTCTTTGAGAAGAAACTTCTTCTCAGTGAGGGTGACAGAGCCCTGGCCCAGGCTGCCCAGAGAGGTTGTGGAGTCTCCTTCTCTGCAGACATTCAAAACCCGCCTGGACGCCTTCCTGTGTAACCTCATCTGGGTGTTCCTGCTCCGGCAGGGGGATTGGACTGGATGAGCTTTGGAGGTCCCTTCCAATCCCTAACGGTCTGGGATTCTGTGATAAAATAGCGATGAGGACTCGGAGCAGCCTGGTTACTCAAACACTGCAACGTAAGCGCCTGTGAGAGTGCCTACCAGCGTTGGTGCTACTCGGGCGATACTATGGCTAGGAGCAAAGCGCTCCTGCTTGCTAATTTTCCCAAGGGGTATGGAAATGCAGCTTACCTGCCTCACGGGGGATTTGTTTGCTGAAAACACTCCCACTTCAGTGGCTTGATAACAAGATGGCACATGAATAAGAGATGCTTTAGTTACAAATGCACCAGCAAGTCCTCTTAAGTACTTATTGACTACAATGACCTTTCGAAAAGACAAATCCATTGTTACCCGAACTGGCACTGAATGGCGTCTCCCAAAACACAAGAGAATGCAGAAGGGGGTCACAATTATATTCGCATTAATCATTAACAGCGGAACAAAACCCAGCGACAGAGATCTTTAGGAACTCATTAACGAGGGCATAACGTACACGCTTTTATTTAAACACGGCAATTTACACAACAGCTGAACGTTTGCTTTCCCCCTCTGCCCCCCAGGAAAACCTGTGTGCCTGGATATCCGAATTAGCACCTGGGGTCTATAAAGAAAAGAAAGACTTTGCAGTGTTCTTTACTGCAAGCACTGGTCAGATCCTAAGCAATGTGGGTGCAGTGACACATGGATACCTTAAATACTCTGATTTCTTGTCATCCTCCAATTAGTTCATCGCTTCACCTCAGCAGCGGAGTTTTGGCTACCTGGTTCTCTCTGAAACCCCGGGAATGCATAGATCATAAGGCTGAACGTATCTGACAGAAAAGGGACAAATCACAGTTGTGGTCTGAAGTTATTGCAGTGCAGATTTAAAACAGGAGTGCTTTCAAAGCAAGGGAACAGAATGAAGAGGTAGGTACTTGCCTCCTTGATGGTAAGAATTTAACATTGCTCGGAGTAGTTTGAGCTAAGGAGCTTTACGTTCGATATCTCAGGTACACAAACAAGCCAAGGCAGACTGCATTAACTGGAAGATCTCTCAAATGATACAGAAAATGTTTTGCTGGCATAAAAAAAAAAGAGGTTGCTTTTTGTGGAATGAGCTATCTATCATTCTTTACTTCAGCTGCAGTGACAAAGCCGTTATTTCCCTTGACGTTCAGTACTTCGGCAAGGTAACTCCCTTTGCCAGAGGGCCCCTAAAGATGAGAGGCTGATGTTTCATGAAAATAAAGTGCACTTTTCTGCTCATGCTTCTTCTAAAAAGCAGCCTCTAAGTATATAAACTTCTTTACCTGCCAGGATTGTCAAAAAAAAAACCCCCAGCCAAGACATAGCCCATTGACAGAAATTACCGGGCAATGGCAGAAAAGAAAGCCACTTTTGGTGCAACTCTTGCACTTTCTCCTCCCCACCCCCTTTTTTCTTCTATATCACGTAGTTTTTAATATTTCCTTTTTTTTTTTAAGCTTGGCTCAACGTTATCTTCAAAAGCAGCAACATCAGCGCTTCTGTGCACCGCTGCAGGCCATCAGGTGCTGCTGGAGAGTCCAGCGCAGGGCTACAAAGATGATGGAGGGAGTGGAGCATCTCCCTTCTGAGGAGCGGCTGAGGGAGCTGGGGCTCTTTAGTTTGCAGAAGAGGAGACTGAGGGGAGACCTCATTCATGTTTATAAGTATTTCAAGGGTGAGTGTCACGAGGATGGAGCCAGGCTCTTCTCGGTGACAAACAATGATAGGACAAGGGGTAACGGACACAAACTGGAACACAGGAGGTTCCACTGAAATTGGAGAAGAAACTTCTTCTCAGTGAGGGTGACAGAGCCCTGGCCCAGGCTGCCCAGAGAGGTTGTGGAGTCTCCTTCTCTGCAGACATTCAAAACCCGCCTGGACGCCTTCCTGTGTAACCTCATCTGGGTGTTCCTGCTCCGGCAGGGGGATTGGACTGGATGAGCTTTGGAGGTGCCTTCCAACCCCTGACGTTCTGGGATTCTGTGATCAGGTGCACTGACAGAGCAGAGAGAACGTTCACACACAAATGTTGTCTTTTAAACAGCACTTTTCTTTTTTTTTTTTTAAACTGAGCAGATCATGAAATGAGCATCAGGTTTTCAAATCATTACAACAATGTCCTCCGACTGCGACTCCTCAGTTACACCAGCTCACTGAAACGGTACCAGGGTACTTGCCTTGTACTGAACTGAACCGAAAGGTGCCAAAATGAACACGTTCGTATCATTTCCACTCGCACACAAGATGTCATGCAGAGTTGAGACATCAGATTTTTAGATCTATTTACAATTTTACATATTTTACAATATATATTTCATCTTTACAGCTACAGAGTGAATTCAGCCTCACGTTGGTACCTGTTGAGTTTCTGCTGGGACTCGAGTTCTGTACGTTAACCTAGTTATTAAAAACAAGTGCGTGCATGCCTAGGAGGAAGCTTTCAGGAAAGATGCCAATGGTCTCTAGTGTTGCTTAAAAATTACACCGGTTTGTGTAGAAAATTTAAATTCAGTTCAAAACCCCACAAAAGCCTAATAGAAATCTACCTGACTAAAATAAATACAATTCATTACACTTAACAAAAAAAAGATGTACCTTTAAAAATGTACTGATTTAAGCTCATCTGATTTTTTCTTTTTTAGTCTTAATTTTATTTCCCTTCCCAAGTAGCAGAGAGCAGGAGGTGAGGGTAACGATGCTTTTCAAAGTTAACACTGATAATTATCCTGCATAGACCTGAGGCTGCAGTGGTGGGGGCAGCTTGTCATTCTCCACATTTTCAGAGTCAATAGCTGCTAAGGCTTGGTTTTTGGGTTTAATTTCTAAGGGATATTTCTCAACAATATCTTGGACTTCCTTTGTAATCCCATCAGTCCAATCTATCAGGTCTTTCTCAAGCTTCTTGGCTTCACTGACAATTCTCTCCTGTCTCTCATTCAGCTGCGACAGGAGGTCCAAGTTTTTATACATTTGCTTAACCCCCAGGCACACGTCAGGTGAAAAACTCTCCGATTCTTGCTTCTTTGGAGACGTCTGACCCGTCATAAAGCGATCAAAATCTTCTTGGCTTAGATTTAAAGACTGAGCATCCAGTTTTTCAATGAAGGTCACGGCACAGCACTACAAACGAAACAGAGCGAGGATCAGGGCAAGCTACAGATTGGATCTTAGGCGTTTTACTTTTTCTAATCCTGCTGTTAGGCCAGCAACTGATTATTTAATTTAATGCCTCAACAGATTGCTCCTAAAGAGCTTTTCCAGAAGCTAACTAACTATATCAGACACCTCACATGCCTCTTTCCTCTCCCCAAAGTCTGAAGAAGTCGAAAACTGGGAGGACAATACAGGAAGACCCCACTTCAGCACCGACTCCCTGAATAATGCCCATTACAAACCTGGGGGTCACTGCATTTCAGAGGTGAGAGAACAGGAAGAACACGACAACTAGACAAGAGCACTATGGTAATGTTTAACAGTCTGACCAGCAGAGATGTGCCATGCTCTCTATTCCTCTTCTGAAGGAAGGAATGCCAACTGCCCATCTTACCTTGTGGATGCTCTCCTTCTACTGAAAGCAATTTTTACTATTCATTTTTACCATTTATTTTCATATTTCTTACTATTCATATTCAGTATTTCATTTAATTACGTATTTTTCCCCTCAAGAATTGCTTTACGATGAAATGCAGAGAAGCCAAGTTCATAATCATAATTCCTCCTAATATAAACGTGCACACCAATAAATACCTTACATTAATGACCTCGTTCTGCAGTCCCTTCAAGAGAAACTCCATGGGTTTAAATGGGGAACTCTGCATCAGTAACATCTGCACAGTCCAAACTCGGGATTTTAGGAATAAAAAGTACTTATCTTCTTACAGAATTAAAATACATCCAAGTCTCAGCATCAGACTGTTCAAATGAAGGACTGAATATTATAAAGCAAGCAAAGCACTGACTGGTTTGGAAACCAGAGAAGGAAGAGAGAGGAGATATAAAGCAAAAGATCTTGCTGTACTCTGGGTAACTTCAACCACGATGTGAAGAGTAGTTCTAATTTTCCTCCTATATTATGCTGTGTTTGCCTTTACCAGAAATCCCTACATCCAAATAAAAGACAAATCTTGTTGTACAAAACGTCAACGCTAGTCCTGCACTTACCAGGTTGGTAAAATAGTAGCCGTCTTCTCCTGTCATTAACCTGCTGGGATTACAGAAGCGCGTTATGTACTGGATGTTGGACTGCAGGCGGGGTGGGTTTCCCTTCAGAACAATGTATATCAGCGTTGGGAGGAAGTCATCAGCAGAAGCTGGCTCATTTTTGGTGATTTTAATAGCATTAAATATATGCTTGCTGCACTTGGTGATGCACGCTAACTTATCACGAGGGACACGCTTGGAATCCATTTCGATAATATCTGAAAGATAAAGAAAGTTATCAAAACGTTAAAACCGTATTAATCAGACACCTGAACGAGTAGGACGTTTGCTGGACAATACTAAAATTGCCTCATTTGTATCCGTGCTTGATGTTCCTTAACATTATCTGTTCATTCAACCTTCTCTTGGTTCAGTCCAAGTATTTCAAATACATCAGGTAAGCCTAAACACTTCCACGATGGGAAAACTATTGCAGCTCCACAGATGATATCCCAGTCCAGTACCACAAAGACCACTGCAAACCTAAAGGTCTGGACCCCTTCTGCTGACCTCTGTGAACAAGAGATGTGAAATGTAAAGCCGTAAATGTAAACTTCACATTCACGAACCCGTAATGGCTTTTACAACCATATCGGAGACTTCTGGGATTTCTTCGTTGACGGGAACACACAGCATCTGTGGAGTCACCCAGTGCAAAGCCCTGCGACAAGAAAAACATGTTAAGGCATTCTGTGCCAGTCACATTCAGGTGTTTGAAAGCAGCTGCTGCTTGAATTCAGTGCACAAGGAGGGCTTTGTGCAAATGAGGCACTGGTCCAGTCATCAGCCACTTCATTCCACTGAAGTAATTTGTTTCCAGAAAAAATACTTTCCTTTTTTTTTTGCTACAATTTCACAAAAGCAGACCAATTCATTTTCCTATTTACTCTATTCATTCCTTCTGTTTCTTAAATAAAGTGGTTTTAACTCTTTCTGGTTAAAAAGCTTCTTAGCTTTGTATTTACAGCAAAAGCTGTTTTTAATGTGCTTGATTTGGAACTCACTTACAGGACTGTGGATCGCTCGGCTGTTTTTCTTTCAAAGACTTACCTGATCCTCTTCTGGACAGCAAGATCTTTCTTCTCATCGTCGGTTGTTTCAGGGCAAAAGACATATTTATACTGTCGAGTCATAATGTATTTTTCAATCTGATCCATTGCTTTCTCAACTTTTTCAGGGGGCACTGAAAGGTACAAATCCCACCCCAATACAGTAAATAAACAACTCTGTGGCTGATTTGAAGATTTAATACATATAAACAATAAGATTTTAACAGGATTTTAACCTGAGTCAATAAAGAACGGATATACTTGGACTCTTTTCACTTTACAGCAGAAGGAAAAATATAATGGTGAGAACACCACAGTGAGATGCCAAAGTAAGCACAGGCACAGATTCACAATGAAGCACATTCAAGGCACAAATTAGATTCAGCTGCTTGTAGCTTACACGAACATACATTCGTTTTTCCTCAAAAATAAAGTCTTTGAGAATAAATCCAGGAAGGTCTTCCAAGTCCTCTGCTCCTCTTTATGTCTAAAAAACATCCCTGGGTACGTTTAAGCCATGCCTCTTACGTACCAGGCACATCAAAGCGGTTTGCAACGGCTTAAACGTACCTGTTCAGTGGGTTGAGGCTACACATACAACCTCAGTTTTTAACAGCTATCATTGAATTTAAAACAAGAAATGAAAACGACTGAACCAACTGCGAGTTGAGGAAAAACCTGTACAAAATCGCTGCAAAACTTGCTGGAACTGGTGCTGCTGGGAACAGTTCTAACGGTGGGACCAGAACTTGTTAACAGCATTTCTGAAAGCTGCTTAGGGATGCTTCGTTTGTACTTGAAAATGCAAGATATCCTCAAATCACTACCTTTTCAGCAGTAAGACAGGAGGAAGAGGAACACGATACCTTTCCAACGCGTCTGTAATTTGTCTGCTACATTTTGGTAGAAGTCCTGGGCACACTCAGATTGCTCCTCAATGCTTAAGTCCTGTCACAGAAAAGTGAATATTTATCATACATCCTGAATGTTATTTGTGAAACGTTGTCTTTTGAGCATTAACTGAACTACCGAAGAACATAACAGAGGTCTGAAAGGTTAAAGTTACCCATCAAGTCACTTTTCACCCTTAAATGGCAGCATAAACCCATACGTAAAGAAAATGGAGAGAGAATTTGGTTTCTGGATTCTCCAGGGCCAAAAACTGGAGTTACCCTGAACACAACATCTCAGCTCTGCTGGCAGTGCTGCATTTTAGGTCTGGTTTCCGTGTAGCAGCAAATTGTCCATTTAGAGAAAGACTTCTTGTTGACTAGCACAAACTGTCAAGGAACCAGGAAAGGAGCCAGAAAACGAGAAAACCAATGTTTATAGCCAATAACAACAACAATACACTACACAAACTCTGTGCTCAGAACAAACCAGTCCTAAAAGAGAAAAAAAACCAACTTCAAGATGTTTTCAAAGTCAAAGGTTTAAAAATCCACCAGAACTCCCTTGGATTTCCAGTCCAATTTGAGGACAGTTTGAGTAACCACTAAATGGGAAAGGTGAACGTGTGGGGGGAAGACTGTGGTGAACACCGACTCATCTCAGCCATAGGTGGCACTGCAGACACAAATATTTCAAGAACATTAACTTCTTTACATGGAGAACGAAGATGTGATCCTCATTCTATATATAAGAAGAAAAGCACAGTCAAGATCCCCTTCCCCAAACAAAAGGTAACAAGTGGGTTGATACTGTATTATCTTTTAGACTTAGGATATCTAAAAACTTGTTATGCACTGTATTATCATTTCCATGAGTAATTTATCTAGAAAATTGTTCCTTCAACAGATATTTTATCTTTCAGAACTAATTTATTCAGGATGCCAAGGAAAGTTCTCTCAAGACACCCAAAATACCGTTTACAATACCTGCAAACCAAACTGCTGGAAGAAGTGCAGCATTTTCCCCATTTCTCCCCAGTTTCCCCATTTTCTTTATGTAAAAGGCATGCAAAACTTACCCTTTTACGACTCATTGTGTCCAAAAACAGTTTACACTGCTTATAGATGTCTTGGCCAGGTTTATGGTATGTCTTGAGAAATTCTATGAACTCCTTGGACACTCGGTCTGTCTCGATGCTGGCCTGCCTGTTTATGGAGGGGCTGGGAGCCTTGGCCTCTTGGATCTCTGCTGGGAAAACGTGGGCACATCAGATTAGGTTTTTTTACACAGAGACGAATTCAGGAAGTATTCTATGGACATTAAAATGTCAGTTTGGTTTTTTGGTGGGTTTTTTTTTTCCAACTGTGCAGATGAATAAGTATTTCTTTCTCAAGCTTTACCAGTGAGATAACTCTAAGAAACGGAGTATTCCTCTGAAGTGAAACATTCACAACCACGTACCCATTTACACTAATGGTCTTTTAATATTAGAAATTGGTGTAGTGTTGGTTTGTTTTACTGTTTCTTACACTTTCACTCCCAGGTAAGACATCTCCATATAAAGTCAAGGCTTCCCCACGCCCGCAGTGTAAATGGGAACTCGGCCACTTGTGTTTCAGCAAGCACAGAAGCACCACATGTGTTCAAAGAGGGATTTCCTTGGCACTCAAGGAGGCAGGAGCACAGACTGCGCACAGCACACAGTTTATGGAGCTGCAACCACGGGGTTTTCCCCACACAAACATCTGATTTTCCATGGTACACGCTGCAGGTTAACCGTACCGACCCGGTACCTTCACTACCCAAGCTTGGTTCACCCACCTTTCAACTTGCCAGCCAACACTGTTCAAAATGAAGGATTGAACAGGGATGACGTAAATGAACATGATGAAAAGCAAGCAGCAGAGAGACAGAAAACATGAAAATATTCATGATCAACTTGATGCAAACGTATCTGTCAATCTGAAAACACTAACATGCACAACTGAAAAGCCTCGTTTCAATAAGCAGACATGCAGGGCTCCAGAAGAAAAGGAAATCAATGGGACTCGTATAGCTAAGTTGGTAAGTTTAATCTGGACTTAAGGTAGCTTATAGCTTTGCTTGTTTGTTGTTCTTTGCTTTTAGAGATCCAGCACTGTAGTAAATTCAGTGACTAACACACTGCTCATCTGACTAAAGCACAAGACTCATTAGGGCCTCTACACTTCAGCGTAACCTTCTCTGGATAATTCGGTCATGCACCATGACAACATTTACGGTGTTGAAGTGATAAGAATGGAAAATGTTTGACAAATATTTAAATTCCAGCTCTAGCAATCAAGATAGAAAGCGCAAACCAATCTCCTTTCTAGTTACACAAGGACACTTTTTCCAGAGGGGATTTCTTCCACCTTTCTTTATACCTCAGGTTTAAAGTGAAATGCCTGCACAAAATTCGAGCTGAACAACCAGCACTGCTATGTGGTGATCTAAACTCGTCACTTTTAATATTATAACCGGTAAGAAGCAAGGATAGTTTTGAAACAACACACAAAGCAAGCAGGTACGCTTTTGGAAGGGCAGAATTACAAGTTATTCTTTCCACAATTGATTACTGACTTCATTTTGAAGAACTACTGAAGATTTATGTATGTATTTCAACATGGAGTTCCCTGTATTATAACAATAAGGAACCTCATCCTGCTATTTGACCTTAAGGAATATGAATATGATTTTTCCCAGTCACAAGTTTAAAAGAGATTATTTTTTAGTGACTACAGAGACGCAGTCAACTGCAGCAGTGTGCTGTTAAGCCAAGAATTAAAAAAATCCCTAGTGTTAGAATGAGCTGACTTTTTAATGAGTGACACCAAAGACTACAGGTAGTCCCTCAGAAATGTGGCACCTTCATTAATTTCTGTGTTGAAATCTTGGTTTAAGGAAAGTGAATCTGTACAACATGCACTGATTTGTAAGGACTGCAGCAACAAAGTATTTTCAGCCTTCTCATGTAATTAAGTCTAAGAAGAAGCTGATTACAGAAAGGCAATGGCATTTGAACAAGTTACAGAGAACCCAGCAGAGAAGATATGGGAAGAGTTGAGAAAAGATCACCTTTACAAGGAATAAACACCACTAATATTAAAGCCCCTCTCAAGGAATTCTACAGAAACGCCACTTGTCACAGCACTCAGTGGTTCACTATGGTTGTGCCATGGTCCTGGATCCGAGTCCCAGCAAGGGATGTGAAAAAAAGGGTTTGTCATTAACTCTACTACACACCCCCATTCATCTTCTGCAGATAATTTACACAATAATGAATGGTACCTCTTCAAATTCCTTTAGTCAGCAGATCCCATCAGAATTACAAGCCTATAACACAGGACAAGATCCCAAAGCTGTTTGCATCAAGGGTTTTGGTGTCCTTTTGGTTTAAATGAAACCAATGAAACATCTTCTCTTGATGTGAAATTGTCTTTTTGGTTAATGTAACAAACACCCGAAGATGTTTAGAGAATGAAAAGGTTCTTGAAGTGTGAACTATTCCATTTGCGTATAATCAGATCTATAATGGCCACCTGGAATTATTTTTTTATTAAATATGAAGCAGCACAAGATGTAGCTACTTCTTACAAAATCCTGATTGTTTGAAACTGCATTATCCTTCAGACGTCACGCTGAGCTGGAGCTCAAAGAAGCTTCAGCTTCGTTCCTCTACTCTCCCTGCCAAGCAGCAAAGAATTGGTTGAGGAGATTCCAGTTCACTTCAAGACGCTGGACTTGCTTTTTCGGTCACCTTCATATTCAACAGCACAAGTTGTAACTGGCACAACCCTAGTTTGTGTTTTGCCAAGCCCAACTAAGCAGTAAACTTACTAAAACCAGGCAGACAGCTCGCTCAAGCTGTACTGCGTTACCTTCAGTAGGGGAAGCCAGTTCCCAGGAGGGAGTGAAAATTTCCTTCAAATCCCTGAGGATGTTATCAGCATTTCGCTCCCTCCCGAGCTGTCCTTGCTTAGCGATTTTCTCTTGAGCCACTGCAAGAAACGCAAAAGCAAGCGCGGCACCAAGAGCAGGAGCGTGGCAGGAGAGACGGCGAACGGGACAAAAAAAAACAAGAAAAGATGGAAAGTGAGAAGAACGAACGTAAAAAAGGTTCATAACACACAGCTGAACGCCTCGTTTAGCAAGCTGCTGCCCATGCACCATGACAAATTCCAAGATGAAACCCAGACATATTTAGAATTTCTGACTATGGAAATGCATGGTCTATAAAGCTGAGATGCAGTAATGTTGCTTTTTCTTCTGGAATGCCTCCTCCACGTGATTTCCTGATTTTTGCCCATGTGAGCTATTGCTGTGCAAAGCCATCAGTGCCATTAACCGCTATTACTCGTAAGACGCGCTGCACACACATTCAGCCAAGCACAAACTTCATATTCACAACCCACAAGTTTCCTTTTGCACTGATTTTCATTTAAAGGCATCCTGCTTACACATTCTCTTTTTTTTCCTGTTAAAGCTGTTGAAGTGATCCACTATGGCAGCACCATCTGATATTTTACATCAGCATTTCTGTCACACTTGGAGATGCCAGTTTGTTTGAGGCGACCAGAGCCTTTTCTCCTGCTTTCTTCAGGAGGAGTTCCCCTTCACATCCCAAACCACCACATCACACTAGGGCTGACTCAAGAATGTAGCAAGAATGTGTTGTATGAGGAAGATACTTCCACTCAGCAGTGCACTGACAGATCACCACCAGGAGTACGTTTAGACTACACTTTAGTGGAAGAACTCCTGTGTAACGGCCACAGATTTAGAAGTGCACTGTTCTATTTAAAAGATTGTATGGTATGACCCCAAAGCTCACATTTTTCTGTGTTTTCTGTAGCACTTCACATATCACTTTCCAGAAGCATCATTATTCCAACTTAACTCAAATCACAGAGCATTACCCTGCCTTTTAGGACAATACATCTACGAGAACCACTGTAACTTAACATGTTGTACAGAACCACTAAGAGCAAAGGAGAAAGTTACCTTTCTTAGCTCCTGTTCTGGAAGAAGCAGTGAAGAACTTCTTCACAGTCGTGACCTTTCGTGTTTTCTCATTGGTTTTCTTTTCTTCAAATTTTGAAAAGGTCAGCGACTGTGCCCCTTGGGTACTCTGGCTGCTGGCGTACGCTTCTTCCTCCTCACGCTGAAGCCTGGAATTAGAAAAGTGTAGGTCTAATTTAAGTGCTTAAAACCAGCATAAATAAGATACGCAATAAATTAATTACTCACTTGACTTGCTAATTCTCCTCTACGCCCATCCTCATTTCTTGCTTCCTACCACGTGTCCCTTCACTACACTAAGCCCGCTCTTTTCATGATGTAACTGTGCGTGGGAAAGTTTAACATGGCCAGGGAGGATACAACAGTAAGGTCAAAAGCCCATTTTTCAATCTACACATACAAAGTAGAGGAGCACAAACTTACTAATCCTTCAATGGCTGCTCTTCTTCCTATGTAGGAGGATTAAAATAGGTTCAATTATATTGCCCTATAGATGCTAAAACGTTGAGCAATTTTCTTTAAGCATCCATCAGGCTCAGGATGGACTTTAAATGGTCTTGTCTTTGTCATCTCAAAGCAGGAATTGTGTCCTATCTGTGCTGTCAAGCAAACAATCACAGCTCATCTGTTCCTTTGGCATCTCCCTACTGAAGAGCTACTTAATAAAGAATTCCTTAAATGCCCCATTTTATTGTACACAGACATTATGAGACTGACAGCACAGCTATCTGCTCCAATAGTACTGAAGTTTCCATTAACTGTTTAAGCCAAATTTATGGCAGAGGGAAATCACATCCTCTGTGCTATACTCAACAGCTTACCTGGCACCTCCCGATTAGCCTAGAAAAGGTTTTAAGTGCTTCTTTCTGCCTTTCTTTGCAGTTAATCTGTTCCAGTGCCACCCAGTAAAGACAATTTTAAAAACAAACTTCAAGGCCTAAGGTAAGAGGGTTTATGGCAGTCAGATATCAGAAAATTTGGTGTGCCAGTTCTGGTGTATGCCACTAATACATTAAGGTAAGCGTAGGTAGAGAATCTGTGTCAATATGAACAAGCATATATATATATATATTAT